TATTATAATTATGATGATCCTATACCCATTATATTTAACATATGTGATATAAATATTTGTAGAAGCGCAACATTTAGCTAACAAATAACTTTCTATGACCATCACGAACATAGTAAATGATTAATAATAATAATAAACACCAATACAAAATCATTGTACACACTCGTTAGTCCTCAACATTAATTTGCTCTCTAAATTTTGAATCAGCAATAAGTATACCACTAATTCTAATTGTGATACTAATACGCTGCATTAGAATTAGTGGAATACTTATATCTTTGGGAATCAGTAAAATTTTCTTAATTCAGATTTAGAAGCGATATTGTTTGTTGGTACTTTTATTCGATTTTATATATACATGATCTAATCATAATTACTATTTTGTAATTGCTATTTTTTAATTACTATTCTTTAATCACTATTCTTTAATCACTATTCTGTAATTACTATTCTGTAATTACTATTCCGTAAGTACTATTTCGTAACTACAATTTGTAATTACAATTTTGTAGCAGTACTAAATATTTTGTGTCTCTATCAGCATTTTGGAAATTCTATGATTTGTGTAATATTTATCGTTAAACATTTACATCTCCAATCGCTAAATTTTCCAAACAGATAATCCCCCTGGTGTGCTAATTTCCAAAAAAAAACTTATCTTCATTTTCTGATATCTATAATTTTGTCAATTTATAGAATTGTTTTGAAATCGTTTTGGTTCTCTGTGAATAGATATATACAACAAAAAAATTTCTAGTTTTGTTCCAGTTTCTCGTTTGTATATCCCAACACATAAAATACAAGTTTAGTTTGAAATCGGTGATTGACATAGTTGGATAGTGTTGTCAGTGATGAAGTTTAGAACACGGTCCATTCAGTTTCTCATTAAATGAAGAGCAATTAGTCAAGGGAGTTGTAAAATGGAATGGAGCATGGTCAAACTACTTTATCTCTTTGATAGAACTTCGCACCCTGAATATGTGTTTATATACACACCTTAAGCTGGTTTACATCCTGGTAAGACAAGGCTATTATTTTTGTTCTGTCGACATAACTACTGCTCTCCAAAACCTCTTCACACACATATATATATATAGGAAAATGGACATACCAACACATATATAATTCTCAACGAATGTGTTTTTGGGGAACATTTGCGTTTCTGCGTTCAAATGCACGTTCATGTATTCTTCATTGTAGAATTTAGTGTGGAGAATATATAGTAAAACAGTTTTATCTCCGTTTTAGTATAGTATTCAATACGCACAAATCCTTCTCTATTCGACGCATTTGTTTTTTTTTTTACAAGAGAGGGTTTTCCAAAAATTCACCGTTGTACACTTTCACATATATGTTTACTGAGAGATTTAAAGTTCGTATTTCCGACTTAAGTCGGAAATTCTCGGATTTTCCCACTAACAGAGAGAACAATGCGAGAGGATTGTCTAAATTTGGCAAGATTTATGGAATTAAGAATGCGACCTAGAATGTTTCCGATGTTTCAGTATTGGGCGAATAGTGAAAAATGAGTTGGCGCATTGTCAGTTTAAATGTCCTTGAATAATGATTTAAATCTTTGTATATTATTTGAAAATTCGAGATTCTGTTCTGCAATTTTTCTTTTTGAAATATTCAGATAATAATTCAAATATATTAGGAAGCTTTTATAATTTTGAATAATTATATAAGTTAATTTTAATAAACAATTTTATGCTCTCAAAATGATACTACAATTAATTATTATTATTAACTGTATTACAATTTAGTAACATAAAATTCATAACCGGAATTTAAACTATATAATGTGAAATTATGTGTGCACATTATATATATATATATACCCTATTTCATATCAGGAACATTAAACTTAAAGTTTCTTACAATTGTTGCAGCACTTAGAATTCATCTTCAATATAGTTATCAAGTTAACAAGTTTTCCAAGAAACACTTTATCCTTCAAAAGTTTCACAATCGAATCTTCTCAGAGAGTATATAAAATTATCTTAGACTGTACAATTATCTTCAAAATATAATATATGAAGTTGTCATTAGAATTTAAAGTTTAGAGAGAGAGAGAGAGAAATATTTCAATTTTAGGAACTATTAACTGATAATTCAGTAGATATTTTCTTCAAGTATATCAACAGAAATTGTTAAGTAAATATTATTTATTTATTTAGTATTTTTATTCTATATGTCATAGTAATGCCCTACGATGGTGGGTACAGATTCCTTGAAGAAGGAAAAACGCATTGAATAGTATAAAAGGATATCGGATTTATATCAGCATCACGTAGGATACATTTGTCGTGAGTTGTATGTTTTTTTTCTAAACTGTTTTGGAATTGGAAAATGGATACACAGCCTTATAGTGTTCGATTGCTTAAGGCTCGTCGATTCGACAAATTTCCGGCTTTCAAAATGCGTTTCACGTTCCAAACCCGAAATTCAGGAGCTTCTCATCGACTCGCCGTTTCTCTGGGTACTTCCGATAGAACGAAACGACGGATTTGACAAATGGATGTATCCGGCAAGTGACACTCTAGGCCTTGCACGTGACACATGTGACGTGTGTATGTGTGTGTGTGTACGGACTCATGTGACCTCGATCATCAATAGAGCTCAGAAATTCGTCATCATGTCAGACGTTTGCCCGAATCGAATAAACAAATTCATAATACAAATCTGACAAAATTTTGAGAAATGTTTAAATATTAAAATAATAATTCTGTTTCTGCATTTTATATAACTAAGATTCAATGGCATGTCTGTTAAATCGATGTTGAAACAAATTGAAACAAAGTAAATTTGCAAGTAAATTAGAAATTGGTAAATACATCTCTTTCTCTCTTTTCGCTTACATACTATATATCTTGGAAGAGTTTAGTTTGTGTGTACGGAGAAAGTTTTGAAAAAGTTTTGTGATTTCAGTAAGATTGTAAAGCGCAATCATCCAATGAAATGGAAATCTTTTTGTTGCTTTCATTTAGAAAAGTTTTATTTCTTCTTCTAATAGCTTTTAAATTAAGACAATCTTATAAATGCCTTCGGCGAATTATATGATTCCGTATATAACCTTCTGAGAACTTTATAGTAGTGCACATTAAATCATTCGAGAGTTTTTGTAAAGAACAATGAAAAACGATATCTTCAAAAAGTTACACTCACTGTAAAAGTTTATTCAGAAAGTTTCATCTAATATTTCCAAAGTTTTAAATATATCCTAGAAAAGAAAATCAAATGAGAAGGCCCAGAAAGTGTTTCTAGTGTGTGTTTTTTTTCCTCATACATATATACGTGAGCTCACGTTCATATCACTAATTGCAAAAACTGCCGGGAGCAGCTGCCATAGTATGTTTCCCTCCCCGTTTTTCATTCACATCTTCTATGTTAACATCCTTTCTTTCTCTTCTTGTATAGAGAGAGAGAGAGAGAGAGAGAGAGAGAGAGAGAGAGAGAGGTAAAAATTGCGAAAATGTGTGTATCTTATTCATTTGCAAAAGTTTATTGTTAATAGAATTTTAATTTTTTTACAGTAGGAGAAAAGTTGAAAAAAATGAATCAATTTGTAGAAGCAGGAGAAAAAGTAGAAAATGAATTTTATATATTTTTTGTGAGCTTGTGTTTTTCTTGGTCACAAAGGCTGTTGAGAAAACGAGAGAATCGAGTATCACGTGAAGGATCTCGCTGAACAATCCAATTTACGAATGCTCACTTGGTCGTAAACAACCATTCTCAACAAATAATGGTGAGTCTGGTTATTGCGAAATGCCGCGCGGTTGAGTTCCCAACGGTTTTACCCTGGCGATGATACAAGTAGAAATAGAGAGAGAATGAGATAGAGAGAGAGAGAGAGAGGGCGACACCAGAAGTGTGTTCGATGTAGCACAACAAGCATTGCACGACGACCAGGTGGGTTATAAGTTTTTACTGGTTGCTTCATACTGCATCGTTCACTTACTTTGGTAGCACCAGCTGCGTTTTATCTCGACAACACACCAATCTAATGACGACACAACATTTCTCATTTTCACCTATGACTCTTTCGCCTAAAATAGTTAATATGAAAATACAATGTTTATCATCAGCATTTTAGTTTAATGATTATATTAATTAATAAATACTAGTTTTCTGTCCGAAAAAATCTTTAAATATATACATGTTTGTGAAAATAGGTCAAATTCAGTAGTTTCTGCCATACCCTTTGTGAGGACGCGATGAATTTAAAATACTCCACTCGAGAGCAACGGCATTGACACGTTTCACTGGATTTTCATTTCGATGGATTGTGTATTCAACTTCAAAATAATTGATTCAATACTGGAAAAAAAACCCATTTTTTATTATTCTGTCAACTCCAAAAGACGCAGTATTGATTTAACTTTTATATTGTATATGTCGCTATTTTTATCTCAAATAGATTAGTTGTGTTGTGTGTTTTAACCTGTGAGGAAAAAAAGGCTCAAGAATATTGCGGAATTGAACCATTATTTTTTTTTGGTCTATCGCAGGAAATTTATGAGTTTGGATAGTTCGCGGTCATCGATTCGCGATATCCTCTGTCGTGTTGTGGACAACGAAATGTCGATTGAGTCGTTAACGGTAGTGAGCTAGGGCCATGATTGCTATATTTCCCAGTAATTCCAAACCCGAACAGTCATTACATATGGCCGCACGCGTCATTCGTTCCAACATGTTCGATCTCGGCATCAATTAATTTGTAGTCGATTACGCGCCGTTCTCTATTTTAGCCTGATGTGTATAGAACTATATAGTAATCACTCTTGAAAAGCTTTACTGTTATTGTTCGATTGGGTCTCTAAAATATATTTCCAAACACTTCATATCCTTTTAAAAAGTTGTGCGTCCTACTTTCATATTAAATTTCGTTTGTCTAATTTTAAATTTAATGCACCAGGAAAGGTTTTAAAATAAGATAATACAATAAACGCAGAACATTTTCAGACTGCGATTATATAAAATTGTTTTTCTAATTTCAGATGTCCTGACAGCGGGCCACGGGCCACCAGGATGCCGACAGACGATGACTATGGCCGAAGAGAACGTCTTCTGTTGCACCAGCACCCGACTGCTCAATACCGACCACCTTCAACGTCTCCAGTTCCAGGCTCGAATTCCGCAAATTCTAGAACCTCTGGTATCCAAGTTGAAAACACCAATCCTACGGACTGTTACCACAAGCACTCCGAAATTCGATCTTCCTCATCAGCGTCACTCCCTAATCAGGAGCGTTACCAGGATCAACGATCTCAAACCAATGATCATGGATCACGAGATCGATTCGAGAAATCCAATGAAAATATCAACGAGGCCCATTCCTCAGAGCCACGTTCGATTCAGCCAAACTGCGATCAATACGGAATCGTTCAGAACCAAGAAAGATTCCAATCCACCAATCATCAATATTCAGGGAGATCATCTTGTCAAACAATCTCACAGAATATCTTGGCCGATCGTTACTCAAGATACAGTGAATCCACTTCGATTCATAATCAGCAATCTTCAGGATCTGTTTCGGAGAGATATGGACACACAGATTCAGGATTGGTGTCATCTGCAAATGAATACGCCAACACAAGTATCTTGGCTTCAGCCTCAGGAAATCCATTCTCACCAGATACATTCCCATCACCACCATCTCCAGCACCAGCGAACGATCGTTTCGTGCCACCACCACCACTCTCGCCTTGTCCAAGCGAAAAATATTCTTCGTCTCAGAGTTTGGCTTGTTATCCTCCTACTGATCGGGTTTTGCCCTCCAGTTCTCCGAGTCCCAGGGATCGTTTCGGTACAGCGCCAACTTCACCGATTCCTTCAGGAAAGGATAGATTTTCCTCATCAGAACGACTTTTGGTTTCATCGGCATCAATTCATGACACAAAAGATCAACAACGTTACACGGCATCATCCACTGAACAATTACTTGCATCACCAGTTTTGGGTAACTTACAAAGTGACAGATGCCTATATGCCACTGGTAAAGATTCGACCACATCCAAATTTGGAATTTCATCAGAAAGATTGGTATCCTCCTCTCCTATTCATGCACCAGTACCAGAAAGATTTACAGGAAAGTCTTCTGATAGATATATGGTCGAATCGCCAATACACGAACGTTATCAAACTTCATCGAGTCATCGCGATAGATTTGCTTCAATATCATCAGTCACAGAAAGATTTCTGTCGAGTTCTCCAAATCCAGAGGGTGCACATCAAAGATATTCTTCGAGCGAGAGAATTTTGTCATGTTCTGGTGCATCTGATCAGTCTAGAAGGTATTCCAGTTCGGAAAGGAGCGGTGATGGTTCCTGTCAGAAATACGGCGAAAGATCGAGTTCATCTCCAGTACCCGCAGATTTTACTAGTAGATTTACTGGATTTCAAGATGTTGGACAGAGATTTGTCATCTCAAATGAGAGATTCAGTGACTTATCAATGCAACGATATGGACAGTCCAGGTCTACTGACAGATATTTGGCGACTGAACGATACTTGGCGACTAATTCTCCTGCACACGATGGCAAAATGGTCAGCGATTCGAATAGGTGAGTAAATTTATATATTCCTTTTGATTCCTTAAAGGTTAGGTTAGATTTTTTCGGCGTCTGCTAAAATCACGTGACGCCATGATACCTCCAGGGGCGTACCCTAACTTTTCATCTCCAGTCATTTTTTGTTTGTTTTCTGATAAAATTTAATTATTAATTAATTTACAGACATTCATCGTCCTCGACGGATCGACTTCTCGCTTCATCATCGCCTTCATCATCTGAGACGAGTCGTTACAATCCTACGTACGGCACTAGTATTCAATCAACAACAGACCGATACAGTATGTCCCCTACACCAGATGGCAATACAGGTCATCGAAGCTATTCACAGTCCTCAACGAAAGGCAATGAAAAATATCTTCAAGTATCAAAGTCTGCACAAAATTACGGCAATGATCGTTATCAACTCTCCAATCAAAGTGAACAATTCGAAAGATCGACTCAGGATCGCTATAGCATCGAAAGGTACACTTCTTCCATCAACAGTGGTGGTGGAAACGATCGATTTCAATCCTCAAGTTCTGAACGCTATCATAGCTCTGCTGAGCGTTATTCTCCAGCTCGCACCAATTCCGACAAGTACCTTTCGCTACCAAAACCAAAAGAAAGGTATCCAACTGGTCGCATAGCAACCTCATGCACCTCTATCACTGGTGGATCTTCCGAGAGAAATTATGGATCCGGAAATGGAACTTACGTCCCACCCACTGCTCACACACCAGTTGAAAGGTGAGTTTTTTCGTTTTCTTCTTTTTATTATACTTCATTTGAATAGATCGAATTTATATATATAGAACTAGAAAATAATCCAAGAATTCCAGAAATAGACAAATTTCATTGTTCATTTTAATTGAAAATTGTTTTCTTTGCTCTTTTATCAATTATAAAAGCGGAGAATTTGAAGGCTTTTGTTAGAAAAATTAAATTACTTTCCAAAAATAACTTTTTACAATTAAGATTTTACAGATCAGAAAGGTTTTATTTGCTTTGTCTTGAAAAAATTACAAAAAAAAAAAAAAATAAGTAGCTTAACTTGCCTTTTTCTCTTTTGTCATTATTATAAATATATATACTTTTATAATTTAAGAGGCTAAACTGTTTTGTTTAATTACATTATTATTTGTCTTTGACATTATTTTTCCAAAGACTTCTTTTCATTTTAAAAAGCAAAATCTAATTTACAGTGCGCTAAAGAAAGCTAAAAAAAATGTCACGCTCTAGAAATAACCTTTTAAAGAATGTGAAACACTTTAAGCACAAAGTACAAAATACGAGCTTTGAAACCATCCCTAGAATTCTTGATAACTTGTATGGATTGCGAAGCTATTTGCTGTAAAATGCAATAAGTTTTTTCACCCCTCGTTAGATGTTAAATTAAATAGTTTTAAATTTCTTTTATTTTTTGTAAATTAATTTTTTAAGTTCTATTAACAATTTGTGATGTTTTATAAATTCATTTTTTTTGAAAAGAAAATTTAAATTATTTTTGTTCTGTAATGGACATTTAATAATTATTGACTAATATAACAATTATGAAATAATTTTTTTCAAAAATAAAGTAAGAAGTTAATGCGGTTACAGTTTTTGCATGCAAACTCTATAAATGCAGATCTTGATTGGTCGTTTATAATGGGAAATTAGTTTTTCTACTGGTAGTGACCAATCAAGTTCTGCATAAATTTTTCCTGAGATAGTGAACAGAAATACACTTTTAGAATACAGCGCAGCGTAGTGGCAACAAATAGAAGTAATAGATATGCGAAATAAGAGTGACAATTAGGTTTCCACTTATAAAAATACCTGCGATAACAACACAATTAATTTTGATTACAAATATAACAGAATAATAAATAATTAAATAATAGAAGAGTAATTTTTATTGTTTACACAAAAAACGAAAGTTAGGAAATAGGATTTAGCAGTTACAAATCTAAATCTTGCAATTTCAAGACTTGATTGAAAAGTAATTTGTTTTTCTTAATTTGAAAATAATTTAATCTACAGATATGTGCCACAACCACCACCGGAAGTTCTATATCCGGACAGATATGTAGACAGATATGTGCCACCAAGCGCACATACACCAGCTGATCGTTATGTGCCAGTGACAGATCCAGGTGATCCTTATATGAGACGTGATTTGGGGTTTCATCATCATTATCGACTACCACCACCAGGATTTGCCTATCATCAAACGCATTTCCGGTTACGTGGTTTTGCTTATCCATCACCGGGACGCCTTGGTGGTAGTCCCGGTTCAAGTAGTTCAAGTAGTTCAACTTCTGCACAAAGAGACAGTTTTTCAACGTCGCCTCTTTTAAGGCCCAAAGTGCGCGCTTCCGTGATTGATTATAATGCGAATCCATCGTCGTCATCGTCATCGTCACGTCATGTGTGTGGCACTAATACAACTCCATGCTGCTCCGAGGTTACTTCCGGTCAAAGAGGATGCTGCCAAACAATCAGGAGGTCACTGCCACCCGGTGCACTGCCATCGATTCCAACCCAGTCCGCCCACTCTTCATGGTGAGTACACCCTTTCTTGGGGGTTATTATTATATTCTTTTTTTTTTTTTTTGTTCTACTTTTAGAAAAAATTTCCCTTTCACAACATATGAGAATTCTTTGTGAAAAATAGAGTTCTTTATTAAATTATTTGAGAAAAAAAATTCTCTATACAATAAATATATTCTTTGTTAACATTTTTTATTTCTATACAATATTGTTTTGTAGAAAAAAATTGTTAGTACATTTTTCAAATTTTAATTAGAAAAATTCTAACATTAATATTATTTAGCGAGTTTACTATCTATTTAGGGTCGATAAAGTAGAGTGGATTCTAGGCGCGAAATATAAATCTACTGATAAAAATTCATAACAAAAACATTAGTTTTTTTTGTGAATGAAAAGAGATTTTAGATTAATAGATTTTTGCACATAAATGCATTTTTGAAAAAGTTTAATGAAATTGATATTTGACTTGAGAAAAATTGAAGGATATTATTGAAATTTAGTACGTATAAAGTCGCAAAATCTAGTTATGTGAAAAATATTTTTATATTTTTCGAAATTGTTTTCAAAATTCTTTTCAATGAAGTTTCTTCAATTATCAAAAAGAAAAGAAAATCTGTTGAATTTAACGGGTTTTCTTTTAAAAATTCTTTTTACTCGTTTTTTGTTCTTTTATTGGTTTCAAAAGTTTTTAGAGAAAAATATTGTAAAGTTGTAATATATTTTTGTTGGAAAATTCTTGAATTTTTCCTATAGGTATATATATATATACATATAGGCGAAGTTTTCACGGTTTCATGTTTGATCGTTTTAGGGACGTTTTGAAACTTTTGGAATTGTTTCATATTATACAATTTATGAGAAGTTATTTTCAATTTTTCTTTTCTTTCCTTTTCAATGTCTTTCTTTGTCTTTTCCAATATTTTTATTCTTTTCTCAATATATCTGTGTTTTATAGACTTTTTTTCTCCTTTTTTTAACATCTTTTTTTATCACTGTTTTATCTTTTTTTTCATCTTTATTTTTTGAATCAATGTCGTTTCTCTCGTTTTAAAATCTTTTTCTGCTTTCTTGACATTTTTTTTAACATTTGTCTTTAATGTTTTACTTCTTTTTTCTTTTTAATTTTCTTTTTGTTCAATTTGTCCTTTTTTTCTCTTTTTTTTCCCTTTAAAGTTTTATTTTCATTCCCTTTCTTTTTTAATACGTCCCTAAAGTTTTCAATATTTTAACAAAACTTTGCAATTTCTTTCGTGGCAGCTTCATGTAACTTTCAAAATTCTCAAGATACTGGTGTTCTGTTTTCTGACGTTCTTCAACATTTTATTTTGAATTTGTCTGGCTTTAGTATGTACGTGTTTTTTCTCTTTTCTTTTTTTAAACAAACTTTTTCTTACCACACTTTCTTTCATGGAAAATAGAATGGGGGGGAGGGGGGGAAACAATTCGTGAAAATTGGCCTATAGGAAAAAGAGTTGAAAACTTTTAAATTGAAAATCTGTGGCAAAGCGTTTTATAAAAGATTTTGTAAAAAGTTTGTAAAAAGATTTGAATCTTTCACTATCTAGATGGCTCAGTGTTGATCATTTAAATTCTAAATTCAATTGTAGCGTTTAAAGCAACGCGGGTGTCTCATTTAATGGAAAAACCTCGTAAACGAGAGTGTAGAACAAAGACTTTTGAGATTAACATTTAAATCGAAAACTACGTCAAAGAATGTTTCGTGCTTTCCGTAGTGGAAAATGAAAGACTGCGTTGAATAAGAATAATATTATATGTACAGTTGGGAGAGGGTAAAAAATATATATATATATTTTGTATAAGATATTGAATGAAAGACGTTATACGGTCCGTGTGTTTCTATGTCAACGCATGTTAAACAGGATTAGAAGAAGAGAAGCACCCACCGTAACGACACATATATACATATAATGTATGCGTTTTCATAATAATCTGCCGCTTTCGTAATAAAGCTCGAGAATTAGAATAGAAGAGCTCTGAGCCACGTAATTAGAGGATAAATGTTATTTATGTTCCTGGAAATTAGAATATGTTGGAAGCTGAACGAACTTCAGACTATAGGCACTTGGCTCAATGCCGTACAAGATTTTACTGTTTCTTACATATATCAAAGTGACAAAATGATCCCCATTAATTTCGATTTACATTATATTCTTCAAATTTTGTTCTATTTTATTTTTAAATTAACTTTTGAAAAGATAGTAAATTTATTTGTTCGCATTTATATTTTACACCTTATTTGAGAAAATATGAAAAATATTTAGAACAATTATCAATTATATAAATTGTTTAATTAAACGGTAATTTAACGTGTACTTATGGTCAGTTTTGAGGAGTCTAATTACAGAGAGAGAGAGAGAGTGACAAGATTAGTTAAACTTTACCGAAATATAATTACTGAACTCCCAAGACTCTTAGGACCTTTAGGTTTACTCACTCTCTGCCATTTCCGGTTTTAGAGATGCTGTTTGGCTTTTCCGCTTACTATTTCCCCTTTCGCATGCCCCCTCTAACCCTTAGGGAAATCCGTAGCAATTCGGGGTAAACTTTCAAGTTTAGAAATCTATCGATGCTCCAAGAGGTTTGCCCTAGGTCGACTTCTTAATTATACTAGCCATTGTAATGATAAATAATTGTTCGCTCTGGATTCGCTGAAAATTTCTGAAAGTTAAAAGTAACTTTCAAGTAAGTTCAACTCTTTTTAATTCACTCGTTCTATTTCAACTAATTTCCTCGCTTGTTTTCATTAATTTTTTACTACTTTTTTTACATTGTTTTATTAAAATGTATAAAATTTGGAAAATTATTATCATATAATTTGGAAAACATTTTGTATGAAAATAAATTGAAGAAATTTTATTCAATATCTATTTATAGAAAAGATATGTCTTTGAGTAGTGTTTTAGATGCAATTTAACAGTGAGTTTCATGTGAAAACAGAAATGAATCGAATTTATATTAGAGAGATGGGAATATCTTTTGAATCTTGCTTTTTAATGACTGACTGCGTGGCAAATCCGAAACTTTAGGAACTATATTAAACCCCCTAAGGGGGCTTATCTCATGCTATTCTCTCCTTAGTGACAAGTATGAGAATTTTCATGAAGATTCTTGGTTATTACAGTGTGAGAGAAAGACTATGCGAGTAAGGAAGGATAGAATGTTCCGTTGGTATGTAAATGCTGGCAAAGTTCATCTTTGTCAAAACTTGCCCAAGAACTTGTCACGAAAACTTTTCTTATTTTTATCTCATATCTTAATTGGATCTCAATTCGTATTATATTTTTAAATTCATCATTTTTAAAGGTTTCAAAGTTGCATTTTCCGACAGTGTAACATTTTTTTCAGAATCTTTTATTTTGAAATTTAATAATTTTTATAGCAATTTGATTTTATAAAAAAGTTGAAAATTTTTGATTTTTCAAATGTTGTAGATAATTTATTATATAAATGAAAATTGTGTCTATTACGCGTTGAACAATGTTTAATGACATAAATATATTGCAAGTCTTTGGTCGACTTTGCTCAACACTGTAGAAATAAGAAGGTGGTTTTTGAGTAAAAGTTTTAATTAGTTGGTTATCCTTGGGGCGAGATGAGTCCAACGGGGCATGTAGAGAGGTTTGTAGGAAGGAAGGAAAAGGGGGTGGTGGTTGGTGTGGTAGTAGAAAGTCAGGGCGTGACGCGGATAAATTGAAACCAGCTTTTCTCCTAGAAAAAGAACGGTTATATATATACTTTCTGAACCAGCTGCTTGAATCAGTTTTCTGTAACCATGTAACCTGTAATCTTTCCACTTTTCTTTCTTTCCACTTTTCTGCTTTTGCGTTTCATTCCCGCAAAAAAATTGGCGGCATTGTTTAAAAGCTTCTCCACCTCTCTTTTTCTCTTGAAGATTTTATATATATATATATATATATATATATAAGAAGATCATTACTATATCCGAATCAACCAAGTTGCTCTCATTCATTTAATTTCTATCTTATCTTTTTCTTCCTCTCTCGCACATCCATCTTGTCCAAGTTTTCATTCTAGACATTCAATTTTCTTGGTCCCTCGTGTATCTGAAACTGTAATCAGTGCTTTGAACAATTTTTTTTTCGAATTTTGTCCAAAATTTATAACGTTTTTATTAATGTACATGAAACGGCAATAGAAAAATATTGTCAATATTTTATATGATAAAATACTTTATATATTTAAAAGAAAAATTTTTAACGTGATTTATTTTGAATTGTGTTCTTTGAATAGTTAGGAAATTGTTGAAAGATAAAGGTTTTTGTTGAAAATAGAGAGATACTGAGTCAGTGTTTTCTTAAAAGTTTTACAAAACTTTTCTTTAAAACGATCATGAATTGAAGGAACGTAAACTGCATCAGTGAAACTTATCTCGTTACCTCAAAAACGATTTTGTTTGCATTATATGGAAACAACTCGTTTGGATTTCCTCCGATAATTTGTAAATTATGTTAGTTATAACTCTTGTGTAGATTTTATTTTCTCTTTAAATTGGAAATAATAAAAAAACAGGTATTATTTAAAATAGTATTGATTTCATCATGACAAGGTTTAGTTAAAGACTATGAGAATCATATAATTTAGTTAGAATACATATACATTTTAGTAGAAATCGAAATTTATATCAGATGTTTCGTCCTGAGAGAATAGTTACATCTCTCAAAATGCGAATTTCTCATGTAAGAACTGTCTGCTCGAATTTATCCATCCTCCCATTGGGAATAATTATCTCAAATTACCTTCCGCTTTTCCGTTCTCGAATCTAAAATACAGTTCCTCATGAAACGAAAATTAAGTTTCTCCCAAGTTAATGTATAAGTATAGGATATTTAAATGAAAAAATCCCAACATTTTGTAAAATCTTTCCATTTATATGTAAATAATTTATTATTTTAAATTCATTTTCTGTCACTTTAAAATTACTTTTCATTAACACGATTTATTACTTTATAATAATAATAATAATAAAAATACTAATAATAATAATAATTTAATAATTTGATAATTTCATAAAATTTATGGAAAATGATTACAATCGATATGTCTATAAATATGATATACGAAATAATTTTGAGTCCACAATTGGAATAATTGTATAATGGCGTTTGCTTGTATACATGAATTAACAACATAAATTTTGACAAATTTTAATTGAAATTTCCATTGAATGATAATTTGATATATTTTTTAATAAATGATAGAAGTATTTTCGTGTAATCTAGTGTGAAAACTATATCAATGATATAATCTGTCGATTATATATCGATTATATGTTAATATAGCCAGGGGGAGGGGTGCAACTTGTTTCTATATAAAACTATAATCCTGTTAATCTAAAAGCAATTCAAAATCATGAATAGGTCATGTCTCATTATAAATTCTAATTTTGAAATCCTATTATTCATACATGTATCTCGGATCGATTTGTCGGATCTAATTAGCCTTCGTCCTGTTATGCACATTCGTCAGTCTTAATTATCGTTCATCATTAACCACGCAACGTCACTGAACGTCAAATATCTCTTTTCAAAATCCCGCGCTCTATTGCATTAATCTTTGTCTCTGATGCATTTCTCAAAATTCATTTGTTATTTCTCATATATATGATTTTTCACTACATTTATATTTCCAATTTTTTAATCTTTTGTATCTTTAAAAAAATCAATTTTTCAAAAATTATCATACAATAATGGTCCATTGTTTTGATATAGGATTATAATTTGATATAAATATTTATTTAATAATATAGTAAAGTAATCGATTATTTGAATCAAATAATTCTTTTTCTGTGCATATTTTTTTATCATCATTATATAGAAGTATTCTATTGATATTTTCTTTTAATTACGCAAGCTCTTTTAGAATAAAGTATTATTCAAAGAATAATTATACTGAAAAGATGTAACAATAATTGAACATATTTTTGATGTTTTTTATAATCGAACTTTATAATTACGAAGATGATCATTATAGAATCTTTGCTCTCTAAATACATGTTCAATATCTACCACTGTGGTAAAACCAGATCTAATTAGAATTGTGATATCGACTATACGGAATTACAACTAGCAAGCTATTACTTTACCTGTCATATAAATAATTGCAGTTTTTTTTTACCTTCATTAATGACTCCTTTTTGAAGATAAAATTATCTCGAAATGCAACCTCTTGTAAATTTTATGTTGAACTATTTTTCTGTTACAAGATATGAATGACGTGAAAGAAAATATGAGAAAAGAGTCTATTTTCAGAGTTTTATATATATATCTATATTTGAGAATGTTGAACTCGCATAAGGTATTTTCTAATTAAAAATGCTTTCAAATTAAAATGACTGAAATTTTATATTATTTAAGCAGGTATTTTTTTTTTTTTTTACATAAGAGCCATTCATAGAGTAAATGAAGTTTTTATAAAGAACAATTTAGTTATTTTTTTATTTTTATATTTCACTTTTTCTAAAAAAATATTTTATAATATAGATTATTACAAACTCTATTAAAAGATATAACATATTGACTATAGAGAAATATAGATATACACATGCATTTATCAGATTTGATGCTGCGGGCCAGAAAGTTATAACTTTCCAAAAACTCGTAAATTCTGTACGAGAATCCCATATAAAAGAGCAATAAACCCTTTAGGGAAACTTCATCGGTCCACACGCATCATCGATAACGCATAAATGTTTACCGCATTATGCCCTAGGAAAAAAAAGAGAGAGACAGAGGGGAGGGGGGGGGAGTTGAGAGGAATGGTCAATCTATAGGTGATTTCATTGCGAACAAAGATCCGTTCTTTATGGGGCTATGAAAATTTTTCACTACTTCGCGTTGACGATTCATTCACACGATAATCGTATTGTATATATGTATATATATATATATATAAAATATATAACTATTCCATTTTGAACACACATATTTTTCATCGTTTTCATCTTCCACGCATGAAAAATCACTTGTGTCAAGAAATTCGTATTTTTTTTGTACAACCGTTTTGCAAATTTTTTATTTCGAATAGACTTTATCGAACCAATCTCAAAAGAGATATAAAATATAGTAATGGCCCGTCTATAGCAAAAAAAAAAGAATCGTAAAAATTATAATATAATTCGAGAAATAAAAATCATCTCTTCAAGAGATGATGTTTAGTCACTTGGATGATAAATTTTTTTTAGTAAGTAATTGATGTTCCTCAATGTTATTGAGGAAAATTTGTTAACTTACTTTTGGTATATAAAATTTTTTTTATATATTGGTTTTTTATTCAGGCGAAATTTAATTGTAACAAAATCGTATTTTTCGAAAATATTTCCAAAAATTCAAATTTTGACTTTAATTCTTTATAAGACTCATTAGTATAAATTATTATAATTTGCATTTCGTACATTTTAGTAAACAGTATTAGGCAGTTAGAAATTTGCATATCATACATTTTTCATCTGAATTTTTTTTGTATGAAATCTAATTCTTATTTTTGAGAATAAAATATAAATTCCCTGGTATACCTACGTGTTTGAAACAAAGTTTCTTGAAGAAAGGTACTTTAAAAATTTGCGACACTTGAGTGAGTCATGAAAACAAATATAGTGAATGTGTATTTCTTCAATAGTAATAATAGAAATTCCATTATGGCATTGGATTTCATGCCACACACACACATACACCTACCGTCGATTGAATCTCCATTCTCGTGGAATTTAAATTTTGTCTGGAAGAAATATAGAAGTTTCGCATTTCACCTTTTTATGGTGGTACAGAAGGAAATAAGCTCGCAAAGATATATAATACAAAAATATGAGAAAGAGGGAGAGAAGTGAAAGCGATATATATTAATAATGGAAAACAATAGGATATTATAAAATAGGAAACAATTTTGTGGATCAATTGAGATGATTATTTTTTTTTTTTTTTTTGAAAAATATTCCTCTATTCTATCCGTTTTTTTCGATTTTCTGTCATGTCTCGATATGGTCTTCATAGAGGACATTTCTTTCTCGTTTCATTTTCACCTGGTTTTTCCTTTTATACTTTCATATTCTGGTCTCTCTATTTTTTTTTCTTTTTTCTATTTCTCTAACGCTTCTTTTCCTCCCCGCTTTTAGAATTTGGCTCAAAATGCAATTTCCCGGGAACGAGTGTCGCTCCACGATATCCAGATTTTAAGAGAAGCATAACAGTCAAAGAACCGTTGCTCCAGATCCCATCGCTGAAGAAATGTGGAATAATCGTAAATGGAACTTGTGGGAAGAGCTTTCGACAGAGCCTCTTTTCTATACTTTGGCTAGATGTAGGTTCTTACTATTGTCAAACAGTGGTTCGAATTTCCGCTTTTCAATAGAGACACATTTTTCGTTCGTTGTTGAATTTTTCTCCCCCGAAAAAAAAAATTTACATAAATGTAAAGTGACTTGTTTTACGTAAATAAACATTTGGAACCGGTTTAAAAATCAAATAAATTTAATATTTCTCATTGTCATAAATTAGATTGAAAAAAAAAAATTTATTTGATTCAAATAATCTATTACTATAAATGTTTATTTTATAATAGTTGCAAGTAACCAATTATTTCAATCAAATAAATTTTTTCCCAGTATTAATTCTTTGATTATGTGGTAATAGAATCAAATTCTATATATTTCCATTGTTTGTCAATGATCGTTTTAAAATTACAGTCAATTGTCGAAACAGTAAATTTGGTGAATTGAATTAGTAGAAACTGGCGAATTTTTCATCTATGTGTGTGTGTATATATAAAGCTCAGGCATTAATTTTGTTAAACTGAATAATGTATTTATTTTGAAAGTGTTTCATAATTTGTAATGTCTGGTTGAATTATCTACTTTGTAAAACGCCTTCAGTTTTGTTTTGTGCATAAACGTAAAACAAGTTTAAATATATTACGTGCATTGGAGATCGTAAATTTATATGGCGACCGCTTCACGAAAATAAACGCCACACTATGGAACCTTCGCTTTTTGCTTTTCTATTCGAATGGCAACATTAGCGAGTGAATTTAAGGTAATAAACGCGCGCAGAGAAAACTCGAATTGTTCTTATGCAAATAAAAATCCACCTTTGTTCAACTATAAACCTTCGCCTTAGATTCACTTCTTATTCAAAAACTAAAAGGAAAAAAAAACTAATTTAAAAACTTAAGGTTCCATTTTGTAAGAAATTGCTTTTATAACAATTTATATTCTATAATGTTATAAATTTTATTTTACAATAATATATTTATGTTTTCTTCATTATTCATAACTAGATATTATTTCTTTTTTTTTATTTAACCAGACATTCAAAATTAAAAATCACTTTGAGGACAACTTTACATAATAAATAATTAAATATTTTTAATAAATATAACAATATTGTCAATCATTATTTGGTTTTAAATTTATTATTTCATATACATAAAATAAAAATAACTTAAAAAATGATAATACTTTTTTATATGATGAGAATGTAATAGTACATTATGAAAAAATCATAAATAACAATTGTTTCTAATCAAACATTAATGATGTTATTAGATAATGTTTTCCAAACAAACTTTACCCAAATATACGGATTGGTATACTGTGTCCCATTGCAGGGACTGATATATTTTGTGGCATTAATATTTTTATTCCCATCCATAGTAATCCGAAGAAAGGGAATGACATTTTTTTCGTTATTACTGATGTTACTAATTGTTTTATTGGAAATTGTGATACAGCGTTCTTAGGAGGTGTTGAAGTTGTTGTTGTAGTTTTATTAATTTTTGTTTTAACAATGTCAGTGTCAGTTTCGACATCGATAGCAGGTGTTACTGTACCTGTTTCATTAGAAGTTGTAACGTCAATAATTTGAATAGAATCGTTAATTGAGACATTAACTGGAAATATAGTAGTTTCATCATATGTTGGATTATCTTTCTTTAGTACATCCGTAATCTAAACATATATTGTATTTAAATTATTATAGTTTTATATTGGCAATATATTCTTCTATTTTTTTAAATAATTAAGTTTCAAAAACCCATAGAAGTACAGTTGATAACTTTTTAAAATGTAAAAATTTTTGCTTATATAATAATGAAAAAAAAAAATTAAATCCTTATGAAAAAACAAGTTAGAATACATTGAGAAAATTAAAGATTTTATTCTTACAATTAGAAATCATATTTTTACATAAGAAAGAATTCTTAAATTATAGAAGCTATTCTTCTTTTGAGATAATTATTCATATTGTTTTATTATTATTTAGTTTGTTGCAAATGATAAAATTAATAAATTTAAAAATATTTACTCCAAAAATATATAGTTAAACACAAAAACAATTTTTTAAAAATATATATTTTTTTTAAAAAATGTTATAATTACCTTAAAAGTTTGAGCGAAGGATATAATGCAGGTGTAAAATAAAAAATATACGTAAATCATAGTTGCGAACCAAATAATTTTATTTAACTTTTATAATTAAAGCAGGCAAAGTTAAAAATTTGACTCTTAACTACTGGTGTAATTTTAATATATATATATAGTTCTTCCTCTAACTTTAAAGCTCAGCTGTATAAACATATGTTTTGTCTTTCTTTAAATAAGATAACAAGAATCATTGTAGAAATAGTAAATAATCGTATGAAGGTCAAGTTAAATTAAAAATTTTAATATTTCGCTCAAATACCTCAACGTTTTAATGTCTCCGGCATAAAAAAATTAGTAAAAAATTGTCCACGTGGTATGTGAACAACCCCAACTATTTATTAAATTAAAAACACTTAAGTAAATAATTATAAAAATATTTATATAATTAATTTAGTTGTCGCGTGGCTGCTAGTTGGAAATCGATGCTATTATATTAAAATTTTTTTTTTAGTTTTTCAAATACAGATAATTTGTTAAAAAGAAAAAATTTTTTTTCAAATTTTTTTCTAAACAAATGTCTATATTTGTAAAACAGTAATTTTTTTAAAATACAATTTGTAGAGAGCCTTTTTCTTAAAAAATAAACCTTTATTAAAATTGCAACATATTTTTTTAAAAATTATATAAAAATAAACCACACAGAGGAAAAGGATTTAAATTCTTTATCTTTCTTTTTTTTGTCGCCGTGTATTTAAAATGAAGTCAATAATAAAATATGCATTACGATAATGTGTTGCAAAATGTTTTTAATGTTTAACTTTACTAAAGCACTTACTTAGTATCTTCCTTGTCATGGCGTTAGTTTTTTGTGTCTCGACGTCGACATTAATCCTCTTTCTCTCACAAGTTTTAGTCTCTAGCAATGAGCTTGCAAGCCATATAGCAACAGCTTCCGTAGAAAGCTGCGGAAGCGTGACGGACTTTTTCTTCTAGTGATCCCATTTTTGCGATGTAAACTCGCAATGTTAACATTTTCCTTTTTACTTTTCTGGAAAACAGAAGTGAAGCAGGTGTTGCACTGTTTTTTCTTTTCTTTTTATATACTATATATCATTTATAAATTTTTATTTTTAATTTCACAAAGTAGAAAAAAGTGGGAATAAAGTATTTATTAAGAGGTAAAAATTTAAAAAATATAAATGGACAAAAATATTTTAAGACTCACAAACTAAGAGAAGAACAATTAATGAATTCATGGTAGCCACTGATCGGGAAAACTGGAAATTATCGAAACTGTAAATCATAATTTTTATATTAATATAATACCTAATCAAATTTTTATTAAAATCTTTTGAGAAAGAAAAATCTAATCAAAATTTAATCAGTTGCAATTCGTGTATTAATCTGTTCAGATGTGAATGTAAATTTTGTAATTTTAAAAGTAAAATTTATCCGTGTTTAATGTGTTCCTTTTTTTAAGTCAATTTTAGTAATTTTTTTTCTGTCACGGGAGTGTTCGAAATTCTTAAAATCGCGATCGTTTAATATAATAAAGTTTTTTTGTTTCTTAATTGAGCCTCCCAATTCTATAACATTGGCTAAGGTTAGAGATATATTTTTTATAAATAATAATTTTACTTTAAAATTTCAACGGCTACTTTGAAGAACCAAAAATTGTAATTCAGTATGAAACCAAATTATTTTCTCATAGTGGTGATTCTAAAATATTGACATTTATTTTAGTAATAATATTATTATTACTGAAATATTTTATTTATTTTCAAAATTATTTTTGTTTGTAAACTTAAAAAAAATTGGATTAAATTTATAATCCGATTTAGATTAATGTTGCATATCCTCGTTATTGCTATACATGTGGATTCTAAAATGATTTTGAAAATAATCGCTATATTGTAAATCAATTTGGGAAATTTAAATCACTTAATACTATTGTTTAAATTGCACATATATGCGAACAACAATAATTCATTAATAAATTTATTTCCTTCAATTCTAATACATATATATATATCATATTTCAATCAGATTACACGGGAACAAAGTTCCCTTCAAATGTATGAATAATTATTGTGTCTATATGGCTTAATTAGTGGAATTATGTTCGTCAAAGGATTAAACAAAAAAAAAAAGAAGTCGTCTAATTACAGAACAGAGTACCGCAGTTATTATTTGTGCCTTAAATTAACAAGAATTGAATTAAATTAAATATATGTAATTATAATAGTTGGTTTAAATTAATTTCAATAGTTAACTATTTAAATTAATTTCAATAATTTTAAAATTTTTAATTTCAATTATAAATAATTTTTTTAATGGAATTCGGCATTATCATGTTTTTAAATAATGAATACATTTGGCAACATGGTATAAGAGTTACAAATATGTACTTAACTCGAGATTCTTTTTTTCTTTTAAATATAAAAGTTCTCATAGCAACTCGTTCCCCCCTCTTAAAAAGAGTTACCTGTCGATGAATCACATGTATGTTTGTCCTTCCATGTGTCTATTTTTTGTCTCATTTCAGTTCTATCTTTATCTGTATTTATTGTCTTTTTTTGTCTCTCTTTCCCGCGCGCGCGTTCACTTTTAGTGATTTCATCTTATTTACTTTCTCATTCTGTCACACGTTTGTCCACTCTCTTTCTCATTTTGTTGCTGACGTTTGCAGAATCGGCAACATCGCGTTAAACGCGTTCCAGTCAGCATCATTCCCGCGAGTTCAACAAACGGTTCAGCTGCCGCGACACATTGCGTATATATATAAATATATATGTAGTTTCCTTCTATATTTGTATATAACCAAGTGATAATAGTGGTTTTGTGAATTCGTGAATGACAAATTAATTGTCTTGTGCATAGTGAACTGATGAACTCATTAAATTCGATTGTTAGATGTTATTTAGATAAACAAAGGGAAATTTATTTTCAACACTCATGTAAGATCTGTTAGTTTCACAACAGGTGTTATTGGATAAAAATTAGTTACTGAAATTTTAATACTTAAGCATTTTAAAAGATGAAATCCAATTAAAATTGTTTCTGAATTATTTAATGGAAATTATAATTTAGTATTTTATTATTTGCAAATTTTTCTAATTTGAATATGTAATTAATAAATGAATGAATTTCGAGAAATTTTTATAAAAATAGATTATTTGCTATGGAATAATTAATGAAGGTATTATTTTTTTAAATGTAAAAATAGATCTTAATTAATTATCTTAAATAGTAAGAGATATTTTCTTTTTTTACTAGTATTTTATTATTTAAAAATTTTTTATTATCGTCTTTTAAGAGGTATTTCTGTATAATAACATCAAAATAATAAATGGATTTTTCTGCAATTATTCATATAGTGAAAGTTAATTCACTTGCGTATTGTAAACATGTGTAACACGTGGTGACCAAATGTTGATGCGCAGTAGTATAGTATTTATTATATTTTGCAGAGGTGAAGGGGAAAAAAATTGTCTTTTAGTAAAACTATTATTTTCTTTTAAAAACAATTATTTAAAAATTTGTATCGCGAATTCGTTAATTTTTTACATTCTTCTCATATGAGAAGATATTAAAGGATTTTATAATTAATTATTATTCTTGCGTATAAGTTATGAACATCTATTAATTCTTAAAAGAAAATCCAAAAATTTGATTTTCATTTGTCTTTTGGAATAACAAATTTCGGTAAATTAATTTTATTCAATAATCGAATTATTGATATTTATAATTATAATGTATATGAAAAGCATTAACATATTTTCTCTCAACTGGAAATTCATTTATTAATAAAAGATACATATGTATTAAATTATTATCATTTATTAAATAGAACAGAATTTGAAACTATGAAATTTGTGTTTGTTGAAATTGGGTTAAATTGAAAAGGATTATTGTGTACAATAAGCAAATATGGAAATCGGCAGGTTAACTCGTAAAAAGCGGTATGTTGTTGAAACATTTTAAAATATACCATTACTTTATATAAAGTTTAATGTATTTTTAATAAACTAAATTAAATAATAAAAAAAAAATGAAATAGATTTAGTATAAATATATAAATTTAGTAAAATTAATACCTAGTGTTTGCTCTAAGCAATTTTTTTTTAACACACAGTTACAAATACTTTTGGTTTGTGATAGAAAAATTTAATTTTCGCTTTTTTTAATGGTAGGCAAAAAAAAAAAAAAAAAATGTGGGTAAATATGTTAGTTGATTTGAAACAAGAGTAACTGAATTTTCGAGTGCGACTAAACTAAATCCTTGTGGAAGTTGAAAATTTGAAACTAGTAAACTCAATTAATACAAAAGCCAACATAGTGTACTATAGGGGGAAACTGTTTCAAGGATTCCCATATGAAAATTATGCTGCAGGAAACCTTTCTCTCTCTCTCTCTCTCTCTCTCTCTCTCTCTCAACTCCGAAAACGAGGCCCCTCGTTACCGTCGATCTCGCGAATGAATAACCCCTCTCGATTCATAATGGTAATATTGCGCGTACTGTAAACACAGCCAGAGCTATTTTAATTGTCATATTTGTGCTGAATTTTGCAGTTTACCCCTTTTTGCAAACACATACACTACATTGAGAAATTATTTGCGCGTGTACAAATTTTCAGTTGGTCATAATGATAAACAACATATAGGACAACAGCAACAACAAAATTTTGCCTATATATATATATATATGTTAGGCTACCCGGTGTGTTTACCTACTTACACAGCAATTCTCATATATGCCCACTTTACACACCCCGAGAATCTACAACCAAACAAACCTGCAATCTACATCCAACATCCCTACATCCTCTGACCACTGCCGGTATGCACAACTATTAACCTATTTCCCGAGGGTATATACGAAGTCTCTTGTGTTACGATGATTCATGCAGGTGTTGATCCATTTCCGGTTTGTGTCACTGTAGTAGAGAAAACATATACATGTCAGGAATATGCTTCTCCGTGAGCCACGTGCATTTGATTTACTCTCAAGCACGAATTCCGTTAAATCAAGTTTATAGTTATTTCAGGTAGACTTGCGCAATACAAATTATTATTGCTATTCTAATTCTTATTTTCGGCAACATTTTTTTTTTTTTTTTTTAGATGAAATTAAAAATTATTTAATTTACGATGAA